AAGAAAATTGATAACACACTTGCCATTCAATTTGTATAGTTGATTTGTGAGCTTGAATCGTATGTTGTTATTAGTTACAATGAGGTTGTACTTCTTTCTAAATGGATGCCCTTTTTTTTATCTTCCCCTTCTCCCCCCCCCCCCCCCAAGCATTCCTGCATCCTTCCCACCCCCTCCCCCCACCAACCCACCCTTCTTCCCTCCCCTCCCCAACTAAACTACTCCCTGGAAGCTTCTTAATACATCCCTTTAAATGATTGGCCTGAGAGACTCTTGATCTCCTTCGCCACAGAATGTCCACTGATCTTGGTATGGAAGTCAAATAATATTTCTGAAATTACAACTTTTCAAATAATAATGTTGTCCCCTCGATATACTTAAAGACCATTCTTTACATTCATTAGGATCACTGTAGAACAGTTATGAGTAAGATTGTTACTACATGTCACCTTCGGGCCCACCCTCCATTTTCCCTGAATTACAACTCATATATACAGGACATCCCTGAATCAATAATAAGACTCTTGACATCATAAATCATCAAAAATGTTCTTAGGTGCTCTGTTCAAAGATGACCGCCCAAATCCTGAGCTACTGGCATTGTAACTAGATGGTAAACTATTGTCATCGTAATCAGCGGCAGAAAGTAATTCCACACGATCGCTATCAGTGTTAAATCTAGAGTACTTCACATACTGTCCTTCTGATGATAGATTTGTGCTGGAAGTTGCAAGATCATTATCTGAGATTCTGCGACCATCACGTTCAGCTCTTCGGGTTGAAAGTTTCTTCTTTGCTGATTCAGCTCTCTCTGACCATGTTTCCTGAAATTAAAAATTAATATATCAATTTAGCCAATGTTAAAGGTGAAGTTTCTGTTAAAAAATTTGTAATTAACTTAAAAAAATAAACCTTTAACCACAGCAAAGAAATTCACCTGAAGTTGGGCATGTTATCAGTTCAAAACTCAGCAGAGAACTTTAAAGAAAACATGTCACCTTGAGGGGTTGACTCCTGAGCCTGTGATACAGTCTTGTGAAACTGATCAGCAGATACCCTGTTTTTGACAACTGTCAATATTATTGACCACAACAGTCATGGATGTGCTATATCAGGCTGCCAGCTGCCACACTAGCTACACCTGTAGCTAGTGTGACATTTCACATTGGTTTCCCTGTGATGAGGACGGGCAGGCGGCAGTCATGGGACTACGAAAATTTCTTGGATGGAGTTACATGTATAACTAATTTTTTTAGCTATGGTACTGCACTCGGGCACATATGGAGTTCTGCTAATTAGTTACTTCATGCTTAAAACCAGCAGGAGGAGAAGGTAGCACTATTTCCAGTGCAACAAGACGTGACAAAAAGAGACAACATACAAACCTTGCGGCTTCCATCTTCACTTAGCATCTCTCTTTTTCTCCTCTCTGTAATATTAAACAAAACATGGTATTGTGACAAAGAGGATTGTTTCAAGGCTTGATGCAGAAAGCACCCTTAAGGCTTGTACTTAGCATCACTACAATGATTTTCATTCTAGGATATTTAGTGGCAGCTTATTGGGACGCGATGTTTCAAGGCCAAACTGATACAGGCACAGTACAAAAAGCATGAGAAGAAGAACCTCTTACTACTAATGAGCCATGTACAAACTCCGTTTTAAGGAAACCCGCTTAATACAGACGCCTCTATCACAGAAAGTTTGCTTTGTCCCTGGAAAAGCAAGCCTTTACATTTTCTCTGAATTCAACCTACTTAATAAGGACACCCTGTTAATGCAGACACTTTCTATGGCCCCCTCAGCGTCTATATTAACCCTTTAAGTTCCAATAGCTCAACAAAGATCAATAATTTTCTCTTAACAATATCCATACAATGTCAAGAGATAAGTTATGAGAATTAATAAAATGATCACCCAAGAGAAAATGCCTTGATCTTTTATCAAATTCTCACAACTAATTCTTTAAGGAAATGTATGGAGATCAGTTTGCAGATTTTGTATGTGGATACCGGGGCTTAGAGGGTTAACGGGGTTTGACTGTAATATGTCCAAAAGCATTTGTCCCTTTGAATTTCTTCCCTCTGATTAGCAGGCCAGTATGTTTTTTCAACTAATGAACTATAACCACAATCCCAGACAAAAGTAGTTGGGAAGGTTGTACAACTTAACAGTAGTCCATTTAAATCCTCAAAAAAGAGAGTTTTCTCTTTGCTAAACATCTCCCGTGCCCCCATTCAATGTTGGGATATAACAGAACAATAAATTACGGCCACAAACATTTAAGTTCTGCTCAACATTGAGCCAGGGGCAGGGTGAGGAAGGGAAAAAAGAGGTAAAAAGTAATAGCCTTCCCAACACTTTTAATGATGATTGTACATATCAACAATGCTTATATAGTACCTCTTCGAGCAATATCCTTCCCCTCACTGACATATTCTGCTGATAAATCGTCTTCAATAATAAAAGTCTGAAATCCAAGGCAATTCAGACACCTTGTGCCAAGACTGAAGTATGTCGCCAGACAAACTAGCACAACACACATGGGGTAATACACATTGACTCCCTTGGAAATGAAGGACAGCACATCCATGTGGCCCATAAACTGTCAATGAAGAAAAACAATCTTAAGTTGGAAAACTGCAGGATAACAAAGCATGTGGAGAATAGGCATATCATAAGGACCTAAAAATAGGGGTGGTGAATGGTAAAATCCGAGACTCGCCGAGAAGCCGAGATCCTAGTTAGAAATCCGAGCCCGAGACCCTTTGGTGAAAATTTTCGAGACTTAAAAAGTAAAAACAAACCATGAAAAAAGGAGACTTCGAGACTTATCAAAAATGCTTGCGAGATTTCGAGATCCTGCCAAAATTTTCCGAGACCCACGTTTTTCGAGGTACCATTCGGTACCCCTAAAAATCCCCAGGCAGGGTACTCCCTAATATTAGATAAGCTACATCCCTTTTTAAAATTTCTAAGAGTGACCAACATCAATACATCTTCAGGGGAAAAGGTTTTGAGAATTGAGAATGATCACTAAAGAGAACATGCTTTGGAACAGCTTTATATCAGACACCAAACTTTCATGTGCCCATTCTAATGCATAAATTAAAAATAATAACGTATTTTGCACGCAGTTTGACTGAAATGAGTATTAATTTTTTTTCTCCTTTTGAATTTAGTTTGATCAGCCGCATCTGAATCAATTCAGCTGGTCTAAATAATTTGGGTCGGCCCTAATTTGAATTAAGGTGAACAGCTCATGAAAAGTTTGGCATCTAAAACTGGGCTATAGTGTGTTAGTCTTGCCTTTGTGAATGACGTTTCAACTGATTCTACTGCTCCTGTAACATGCCCATCAAGATGAATGACAGCAAGGAAGTTTAGACACAGTGCATAAGTCAAGCGACAAAGTAGCCTGCAACAAACATGGCAAAGGTATTACAGGGTTCGTATGCACCTTGAAAGTCCAGAAAAGTCCTTGAAATTTTAAAATAAAAATTCAAGGCCCTTGAAAGTCCTTGAAAATTGCAGTCAATACTGGAAAGTCCTTGAATTTCGGTGCTAACTTTATCCAACCCAGACTGTATACCTAACATGAAAGACCTTCAGGATAAAATTGCTCATGTTGTGGTAGAGCTAAACTCAAGGCACTTTTTGCACTGGATAGAGTCCTTGAAAAATGGGAAATGTGTCCTTGAAAGTCCTTGAATTTTTTGTTCAAAAAAAGGGTAAGAACCCTCAGGTATTAACTTTGGAAGAATTTGACACGACATCAAAAGTTACATGGATCCCAAGTTCCCATATATGCATTCACCCCTTCAATTATCATTTTGGTCAAATGGGTTACCACTACAGGACAAAAATTTCTAATTGCTAAGCAAATTTCTTCCATGACCTTTGATAACATGTATTCACTTGGATTTTTTTTTCAAATTATGGTTTAATCATGATTTACTTACAGTCCACTGAAGAGCAAGCTGTTTGGGTCTGTCTGATGCTTGGGTGCAAAGTAGTAGTAGTTGAAGAACCTCATTTTGAAAACAGTGTAGTAAACACAAATACACATATAGGAAATGGTCACACAGGATATTACCTGCAACCAATAAAAATAAAATTAATACATTAAAAGAAAAATAATAATTAATAAAATAATATTTGCATAGAGTAAACTGTCCCTTATAAGCTGCCCCAACCCCCTGCCAAACTTATAAGCCGCCCCAGTTACATGTGTATAGGCCCATCTACCTGCAAAAAAGTGCACTCGAGTATAACATCTCCCACCCAGATTTAGCCCCCTCCAAATGCACTGAAATGAATTTGATGTTGATGATGTTTTGAAGTTTGATATTCAATACCAGTAAATGCAAAATATATTAATTTTTTGATCTTCCTCAAATCTGTATTCTGAATGATACCTTAAAGTGTTGGGAACATCAGAAGGATGAAAAGAAATTTTTCCTTGATTTCTGATCCCCAGTTCTATAGTCTGATCCGTTAAGATCTCCAGACCACAGTTGTCCCTCAAGTGATAGAAATCAAATTAAACTACACATGAACAAAATTTCAATTTACAGGTTTGTCTGACATACCTCTACATAAAAATAATAATATCCTACACTAGCTCCATCAATCATCAGTGCAAATATCGACAGCACAGGCTCATTATTGAAGAACGTCACCTCAGACCAGACCAGAGTCACGGACAACAAAAACAAAAGAACTGCAGTTATGCGCAGTAGCCATGGACACAGCCAGACTTTCCAGTACCACTCTATAATGATAAAAAGATAATGAATATTCAAACTTTGTGCAGAAAATATAAGGAAATTGAAAATTTTGGGAAGTTGTCTGGTGACCGCTATATACAGGGCCTTTGTATACCGGTTTGACTGTATTTCACTTACCAAAAACAGGTTTAGCCCCTCTGGCTGGTCTATCTCTTAATGAAGATTTGTAATGTCTGTAATCGTAAGAAAAGATTGTAAATTAGGTGGGGTTTCATCAGTGACTGGTTGATCAACAGTATTATTATTTGTAGGGGAAGTAACTTGAAATTCCTCACAAGTTTTAGTGTTAATCTACAAGTACACTGACAGCTAGATAATTTAACAAGACAAGCATTACAAGTCACTGTAGCTGGAGGTCTGAGGATGGTACAACGGTGCCTAACATGCTGTTCCCTCATTGTTTCAAGAATTTGCATTATTCACCTATATCTGTGAGAACTGTCATGCCCGCGGACCAAAAACTTTGATCTCATGCCTATACTCACACCTGTTGGTCCAATTTCTCATGCATGGTAAAAATGTTTAAGCCATTACAGCATTAACTGTCTCATTTTGAAAAATATATTAATTATTTAAAGAAACTGGAACCAATGAGAGAAACAAAAAGTCCATGTGAATGATCAGCTTTGTCCGAATTCTCTTAGTCACTGGAGACTAGGTAATGTTCCTTCACGTTCCTGTGTTCATGTTAGACAGAGCTCTTTGGACCATCTTCAAAACATCTTCGGATATCTTCAGATATTATCGGACCCCTACAAAAAAACCTGAAGCTCTCACGATAAAATGTCATGCCTATAAACAGTTGGCAGGTCACCCCCTCTGTGTGAATTACCAAAATAAAACTCCTGACATGTCATTAAGCTAAGTGCTAACTGAAGCTACCCTTCTGAGTCCTCTACAAGTCAAGAAAGAGAAAAGAAAAAATCTGCAATATTACCAGATAGCCTAGCCACCGCCATGGATCAAAGGGAGGCCAGGAGAGAAGCCACAGACTGACAAGACAATTGATAAGAGTTCCGTCATTCTTGACTCGTCCTTTTTCCCACTTACTGACATTTTTTTATAATTTTTTGACCATTGTTTGCAGTCACAAAGTCTCAGTAGTATTGTATCATTCATGAACAGATTATTATTTTGTAAATCACAAAAGAACGTAAGCATACCTATCACTGCTTCCACTGTTTCGTGAAATATCCTCCAATTCAAACACTTTTTCAAGCTGCATATTCCACTGGCTGAAAAATAATATTTACCAGGAATTCATCTTAGTTATTAAAATAATACAGTCATATCTCTCTAACACAGACACTGGTCAATGGGTTAAGAACTTAATAGCTACTAACAAGAGTCCACCTTGAGGTCTCTATCGAAGTAGGATACCCCAAGCAATAAAATGTCTCGATAGCAGTGAGGGACCAACTCTTGCTGTCTGTTTTTAGGGAGGGAACTGTCTGATATTAATCAAGGTGTCTGCTAAGATTGAGTTCTGTTTTATGTCACAATGACATATCAGAATACAATTTTGGAAATACTACAGTTAAACCTCATTATTAAGCAGCCACTCCTGGGGTATCCACAAGTGACCACCTGACATTATCACTTAATTCTGAAACAAACACATGTTGGCAGTGCCATTACTGTTTCACAGTCAGTCATCACCTTCTGTCTCAGATTGTGTAAAATAAAGACAAACTGAGACAAAGTGTTTCAGTTTCAGTTTAGTTTCTGAAACTAAAATTTGTTATGGGTGCCCGAGAAAATGAAATGTCAAATTTCACAAAATTACGTCTTACACATAAAATTTTCCAAATTTTGCCTGTGTTTTCACAATTCATGTGAAATTTGACGTTCATGTTCTCGGAACCCCGTTAGAAATTTTCTTTGTTGTTACATGTACTACAGATGGCTAATAAGGTCTTTAGCCCTTGAAAAATGTAAAAATAATGCAATATTCTTTAAATTATTCGGGTACAAGGTTTTTTTCCACTGAAAATTAATATTACTCAATTTTCTGGTGGATTCCGTATTAATATTTTGGGACCCAAATACTTTCTTACTGGCCAGTTAAATGGAGGTTCAATAATCGTTGTCACAGACAAACTAAATAGGGGTGACGAATGGTCTTTGCGAGCATTTGTGAGCATGCCGAGCACTGCGATTTTTTTGCGAGCGCGAGCAGAAATAAAAAATTTGTTTTGTGAGCTTGCGAGCAACACAAAAATTTGGGGAGCACAAGCAAGCAAGCACTTGTTTAAATTTTGTGAGCAAATCAAGCAAAGGTAAAAATCTGCACCGGCAAATTTTCAACATTTTATTTTGCCCTCAAAATCTTTCTACAGTAAGTTCAGATGATCTAATATGCATATCTGGTGTTCTTTTTTTGAATATACCTTTGCATTTAAGAGAAAATCTACTCAAAAGTTGACTGATTTACCGGAAGTTAAAGCAAAATTTTCATTTCCGTTACTAAGAAAAAGGACGGCAGGAGCGCAACTTGACTCCTCTTTTCGGCATCAAGTTCTATTGATGTGCTGAACAAAATCTATTCACTGCTTGGATTCATCGACAAACTGCCGCCGCTGTATGTCCAACTTGATTTTTCTTGCTTCTGTTAAAGCTGTGATGACTAATATTACTTGCTTCTTGTCAATATTTGTTATGTTCTTGAAATATACTCCGTTTTCCAGGGCTGATTATTGTTTTAAATTTACATTACATCGGTGTGTCTTCTCACCTGATATATTCTGACAATTTTGCCGCGAGAGTAAAACGTTTTTTTGGCCCCTAATCCTCTGGTCTGTTTTTTCTGCCAATTTCTTTCACTTTACAAAAGCAATTCTTTTCAATTTTGAATAAAACTCTTCTTCAATCTTCATACTTCGGTGCGCTTCACTGCATTATAGCTGACACTGAGTAACGCATCTTCCGGAAATGCGTCACACCTAGCAACTGGTCACATATCAAAATCCAAGGGGGCTATAGAGAGGTCATTTGGCATTTTCTTAGGCTTCCACGAGCATTTTACACAGCGGTGATTCAAAATGGCGGGCAAGAAGGTCTGTGATGGTAGTATCGAGCAGAAAGAGTTGATTTTGAGAGGAAAATAAGCTTTCTTACACCGGAAAAGCGTTAATTACCGCGTAACCGATTTACCTTGACTTACGAGAACCAGTTTTTTGGAGGAATAGATCATTATTTCTTCGTGAAATTTGGCAAATACACAAAGAGCATGTTACTGAACAGATCTGTGTTTGACCAAAGGTTAGAATTGCTGTACAGCTGAGTTATTGATGTCAAAATGTGGATCAAATTACAAAATAGCAAATTGTACCCTAGAGGGTGGATTAATTGGAGCTGTGTCATGGTCAAACACAGAATTATTCTATCTTACGTCCTTATTTGTGTTACATTTCTTTTTTAACAATAACTCTAAGGATTCTTCTGAAATTTTGATTTTTCTCTTTCCGTGCCACCCTAAGGGGTAATTAAATTAACACCTTTTGGGTGACATAACATAGTTTATTTTGATATATTCTAGTTCCTCAAGAACTGAGGAATACTGTCAATGTAGTGACATATAGATAGTATCCATAAAATAACCACTAAAAATGATGCAAAAATGTGCAAAATTTGCCGGTGCAGATTTTTAATGGACCATTCATCACCCCTCTAAATCATAGTTACTTGCAACAGTGTTCACACTCTTACCACTGAGTTCTCTTTGATGTATGAGTGATGATGATGACTCGCTTGTGCAGTTTAGCTAAACTTTTCTCAGTGTAGGTCTCGGTTACTTTGCTTCCAGTCTCTTTCAGGTAATCATCGTAATCTACATAGTCATCAGTACCTCTGTTGAATGTGGGCTGTGATGCTTCTGGGCACTTAAAAAAATTATGATATCATAATTATCTTTCAGGTACTGTCACTGGAATGCCACCTTACAACCACCCTGTTTATAAAAAATTCTCATTATTACGACTATATTCTTTTGACCCAAGCATAGAGCGGTTTTCATTTGAGTGTCGAAAAGTAATTGGTTTTGCACTTTCTACACGATGTGATTGGCTTAAAAGATTCGCGCCACCTTTTCATCCAATCAGAAGTAAAACCAAAGCCAATTGTGACGCGCTCGCATGCATTTTCCCGCGCTTTGCGTCAGCCACATGTAATTACTTCGAGTTTTGATTGGTTCAATGTATTGTCTGTGTCCTATGTGATTGGCCAGAGTAATTACTTTGGTTTTGGTTTTACGACACTCAAACGAAAACCACTCTAAATCCAAAGAGTCATTTTGTTATTTTTAAGACCCTGTTAATGTGAGTGACCACCTTTTTATTACGACCAGGATTTTATGGTCCAATGGTGATTGTATTATGGAGTGCCACTGTCATTAGTGTGTCTAATAATTATAATATTAGACAAATGATGAACGAGAAAAAGAAGTAGAGGATTTGGAAAATTGCAAACAAAGTTAGAAAGCATAAAATGGCTGTAATCTTTTGCTTTAATACTGGCAGTGAAGACAAAGAAACCAAATTACTGGATGAAAAAGACATTAACTTTCAAGAGTCAGTAACACAAACTCCCACATGACAAAACCTTCGTATAACCAATTATGATAAATTTGCCTCCAATAACGGAGGCACCATTTAGCTCATCGTAGGTGTAAAAATCCTTGAAACTCACGAGTTATGTAAAACAAGGAATACAAATTAAAGTAGCCACTGAGAAGTCAACACAATAGAGCCGAGGCACAATAATAGCTAGAAAACAAAGAACAACTTCACAGGTTTTTACACCGCTCGAGGTAAACCCCAAGATTGATAGCAAAAAATATGGAACAGGATCTAGATATAACAAATTACAATTATTATTTTATAACAAACAATTTCCCCTGGCGATTCACTATGTCCTGGTTCCACTATAGTAAAACCTAATACTAATTAATATATTATATTATAGCCAGACAAACTTTAAATTGATGAGTTACCTTTTTAATGACTACCTCAAGGTACTTTCTAAGAGGATGTCTGTAACGCAAAGCCACTGATGCCTGATTCACTTCCTAAAAAAACATTTTACAGAAACCTTTTAATAAATTACTATAAAGCACCCACTGACATGCGATATGACCCTTAAGCAAAAGAGAAAGGCAACAATCTGTTGTATTACATGTAACCAATCCATAACCAGTGGTTTTGGAGCCATTTTGCCTACCCTGAGAGCAGGGGTTTCTTTCCGGCATGGCTTTTAGCCTTCACAGAGTACATGTCGCAGTCAGTCAAGTAGTTGGTTTGTTAAATAACTACATGACTGACAGTGCAATGCGAACAACTTCATAAATGCTAAAAGCCATGCTGGAAAGAAACCCCTCCTCGCAGGGTACATTTTGCCCAAAAAACCTTAAGTCAAACTTTTTAGTTGTAGTCCCCTTGCTTCTTAAAAGCTCTTGGGTCCCATTTCACAAAACTTTTGTTAGATTTTTAAGTAGTAAAATAAATGAATAAATAAATAATGATGACAATGCTTCTTTACACTAAGCCAATATTTGCAGTCAAAGTTTACTTTACTTTCAAAAAAGACTGAAATAACTGATTACCTCAATTACTTCAGCAAGCTGTTCTTCAGCTTCTTCTTTTTCTATGCTAAGCTTTGAAATCTTGAAGTAAGCACGAGCCATCTGGTACTCTAACCTCGCTGTGTTCCAAGTGACGCGAGGTACTTCCACCAGGCCATATCCCATTAGAAACACCAGAAGAAGCAATCCCCATGTGTTTGATGCAGTAATCCCAATAATACCTAATTTTGACCTGAAAACCCATTCAAACAGAAAATATTATTATTATTAATAATGTGATTCAGAAAAAATAATATTAAAGGAGCTTTGTCACAAGGACAAATTTATTCTAACACCAGAATGCTCAGAAAAAATTCCGAGACCCAGGTGAGAATCCAACTCACGACCCTCCGAATTCTAGTGCAGATGCTCTAACCACTGAGCTACTGAAGGCTTTACGGTTAGCAGGGTCGAGCACCAGTCATAGAGGACTGTATCACGGGTATTGCTTGAAATCAGCTGTCCACCAACGTACAAGACCAAGACTGAACAATAAAATTTGGCAGAAGGAGAATTCTAACACCAGAAAGCTCAGAAAAAATTCTGAGCTCCAGGTTTTAGGTCAATTCTGTGCTGAAGTCATTACTTCGTGCCTTGCATTAGGGATTGAAGATATCAAACCCATTTCACCAGGGATCACTAAACATAATAATTATTTTTTTGGTGAGTTTTCCAAGCATAGCATTAAAACTTGAAAAAGTTGGACCAAGATTTTGAAGTTACTTTAATCAACGTCCATCCTTGCTTGATTTTTGTATTGTTTCTTGATAAACTCTGTTTCCTCATGTACTATCCGCTTCGAGCATGACAAGGCAACTTTAAACGAGTGAATTTTTATTTTTCAACGTGCTACTGCTTCAGTTATCAAGTTACCCTCACTATGAATAATCATTTCTTAGCACAAGCTACAGCTAACTTAAATACGCACAAAATCAATTGCAGGTGAGCATGCTAATTAAACATGCAATATAGTATTGCAACAAACTCATTAATCTGTCCTACAGGTGAAAACAGCACCTATAAAAGGGCATTTAATTACTAGACACATATCCCCTTAGGCTTTTGAAATCAATTAAAAAATGTAACAGTGATGAGGCCTCCCAGCAGAGGGGGGGGGGGAATATGCTGTCACTTTGTCCATCATTTCTGAGACTGCCTGTCACCTAAGTAGGTTAGGAAAAAAATGACTGTCACATTTTAGCCACAACAAAAATGTTGCTGTTGGATTACCATAAATTTTTGGTGCCTGTTGCTTCCACCCTTTGGAAGGCCCCAGTGAAACTATGAAATGACAATAGATTTCTCGATAAGAGGTTTGTGAATGTGCTAGGGGTGGCAGCTCTGAGCCTTACCACTTTTTCTACATGAATTTTCTGTCTAACATCCCCCCCCCCCTTAAAAAAACAATTGATAAGTAGAACAGTTGGGACGCACAATGGCCAGTTCTGGGGATTCAAGATGGTTAACTGTTGAATTGTGTCAGAATAACTATGACACATACAGCAGACGTACATTGGTTGGTTCATACCAAGTTCATGCTCAGTAGTTCAAAAATAGCAAACACTACAATCCAAAAAAACTCACCAATCCAACTGAAGATCAGGTTTCACAATAACATAGACCAAAAGAATTCCAAAGATGACGAGATAGCTGCCATACCAAAGAGCATTCTCATACAGTGCTGTTTTAATTTTGCCGCGGACTGTAAAAGCTCCGGCGTAAGAGTATGACTGCATAATAGGAAGGATAAGCCTTGAAAAGAAACAATCACATTAAGTAACCAGTCGTGTGTTTTTTTTTAGGATGTTTTGTCTTGTTTCTTTGTTCTACTTTCAGTCTACTTGATAACTGTTCTTCTGCATTTAAATTCCCCAAAAAACTTTACTTTGCATCCATTCACAACTTATAATGAATTTTTAAGGTAATTTGAATATACTATTCAGTATTGCTGATAACTACAGACTCAATGCAGAATCAAGGACATTGAAGTAGTGAAAAAAAGTGTAGGAGCAATATTAAGCATAAAATATTATAGTGTTTTTTTCATACTGAAGAACTTGAACTTACCATGAAAGTATTTGAGAAGACCAGTATACAACTCTCCAAAGATCAGGAAGAACTTTCTCAGGTAAATAACTCCAGGGTTTTTCGCATTGTGTTGCTGGAACATCTCCTTTGCTTTCATTCTTTTCTGAGACATTATGCGATACATTTGATAATGGATTTGCGTTTGCTGACAGCTTGAGTTGGGTGTGCGATTTTTCTTCGTGTAGGCATTTTCTGTAGAAAGTCTTAAGAAAGACAGACGGATTTGTTGACAAATTTCCATACGCAAACATCTGATATAATGAAGCTTACTTATAAATGTCTGAATAAAATTTGACCTGAGGGGAGCTTTAGTAAGACATGTCTTGTAAAGTAAAATTCCTTTGGGAGAAAAAATTTTGATCGTCGGTTAAACATAATGCAGAAAACGTTTAGGGCTTTAATGTCTTTATCAAATATTCAGTCTGAACGAAGCCGGGCTGAGAGAAGCTGTCATCGAAGTTTTCATAATCTAAGGACACAAATTCTAGTAGTAGTCGGCTATGATCGTACTAACATAGTTTCCTTTAGAGAGTAAAATGATCAAACTTACCGCTGAAACGTCTAAAGGGAGAATGAACACGATAAGAAAAGAGAAATACCAGGCCACAAAGACAGCCACCGTGACAAGCCAATGTTGCTTTCGCCAATTACCATATTGATGAAGAAGACACAAAGTTAGGAGAAAGACTAAGATCATCTCCACCGTAAACGGTGCAGCACTCATCTTGAACCTTCTGCGATATATAGAAATGATCTTCCAGAAAGGTGTTGCGAAAATACCAGTAGAACAGACAGGAAAGATTGATGTATTACGGAAGATCCTCAACTCAACCGGTGATCAAAACTCACTTTTTGGGAAAAGCCTGGTAACTAATGAGTTTTCTTCAAGGCGTGAGATCTGGGTACCAAAGTATAATGTCCCCTCCCCCCTCCCCCCGCTTCCCCCCGCCCCACCGTATTAGATCCTGCTGGTTGTCAACGTTGGATATCAAGAAAAGAGATCTAATCGGCTAAAATATTAAAAACAAAAAAGAAAAAGAAAGAAAAGTCCAGAGACTACTGCAAAGCTGATAACAACGTGTATTGCTCTTTTAGAACAATATTTTGGCTGGCCATACCAGCCTTCTTCAGGTTTTTTCTGTTTTGTAACATCTTAACATCCGAAGAAGGATGGTATTCCCAGCCGAAATATTGTTCTAAAAAAGCAATGCACTGCACGTCACGTTATCAGCTTTGCAATATTCTTTGGACATCTACTTTTTTTGTTATTAATAATTCTGCAGTCTCAGTATTCGAACGCTTACAACTTCTCAGAAAACTTTCAAAAAGTTTAGCAATTAACTTAGGAAGGATCTCCTTTTATTTATCCCAGTACGCACGTGCATACCTGAAAAAATGCCAAAAATTAGTACAATTAAACCAAAATAGAATTTAAAAAGCAAAGGAGGAAAACAAAATGGAAATAAGCGATAGCTGACGGAAAGTTCTGCCTAACAAAATTCGCATTCACCCCCAAGAGCTATAAATAACTCCATCGAACTGATTTTAAAAGCATGTAAAAAGGGTTGGGAGGCAGTGATGGGTAGATTTTTTTGGAAACAAAGTGTGCAATGCAAGAACTTTACAAATAATATAGGTCAAATACTAATTAGCCATATAAGTCCCTTGTGCCCTGTTGGAAAGTGTGTGTGCAGTAAACAGTCCGTGTTCTCATTGACACGTGCAAAAAGGGACATCCAATCAGAGATGGGTATTCAAAACACGAAGTTTTTCCGCGCATATTCAAAAATTAGTGGCTTCAGTTGCAAGCAGTTTGCGAAGGGAAACTCAAGAAAGAAAAACACTCTCACGTAAAACAGTCTATCTTTCCGTCTTCTTCGGCTTCATGGTCTTAAGTCCTTCCGCGGAAATTAAATAACTACACGACAGGAGTAGGAACTGGACAAGCAAGTTGACTGCATGAAGTTGACAGTGTGACTCAAAATTCATGCACGTGGCCGACACTCAAGAACCGAGAATATACATATAAGGTAAGTTTTAACTCTTACTTCCAAAGTAATTATAGCGAGTTCAAAAAAATAATTAATATCTTTGCAAAAGAAAATTTGATACTCTTTTTTTTTCTTTTCGTGTACCGACAACAGAGAGTTGACGGAGTTAAGTTCACGAAATAGGGTGGTCACAAGTATCTTCCAAATGCCAGCTAAACTTAAGACTTCATAAGTCAAATAAGTTAGACGTAAGCTTTTATGAAAACCGCAAAGTGTTCGCGAGAGCTATGTATTTCAAAAGCGGAATTTACCTTTGACCGAATAAAATTTTTAAGAAACTGAAATGTAATCTGAAATGTTGAGGGTTTCCGGAGACTTTTGGACAACGTGACAGGTTATCAATGCGAGTGTTAATTAGACTATCTCGAACCAATTTTTGAAGCGTTCTTTTTCTTCGTTTTCGCCTCCATGGGGTTTAACTGCTAAAAACAGGATTAAAATATCTATTTTTTATCTGTATACGTCAATTCAGGTTGCCCATATATTCGAACATGCTTGTGTTCAAAAACGCACTGCACCTTAATTAGCAGGTCATTTAAAAAATACCATAAATAAGATTTTGTACCCATGTAACCTATAGCTGAATTATGAGCAATATCCAGCAATTGCAATAATTAGACTATCAAAAATGTAGTCAGTAGATTGATGTAAAATCAAAGCAAAAATTACTTCCTTACAACAAAGTTCAAAAACTCTGATCTCCACTTAAGCATTTTCCTATTGGTTTTGATTATTTTTTCAATTGTTTTCAAAACGATAAAAAAAATGTATTCTTGGTTTACAACCACATGACAAGGCAGCCACGTTGGGGGTCGATAGAATAAAAATATTTCTCAAAGAATTTACCTGAAAATAGAGTTAAGTTCCCAGAGGAGAGAAATAATTTTTGTTCTTGACTACTAACCTTCGCGCCGTAACGTCATATGCAAACCAGCAATAGCAGACACTTGCAATCAAACCGTATTCTCAAACCATACAACATCACTACGTCAAAATTCGCTCTCGAACACACAAATTGATAGCCTGAATGCGGAAGAAGTGAGAGGCTGGATGGTTTCTATGAATGCGATACCGATATAAATGGAAAATACACAATATTTGAAAGCTACAAATAGTTTACTCTGGGCGTAACTTATGACCCCCCCCCCCCCCCCCCCCCCCCCCCCCCCCATTTTTTTGCATCCGATTTTCTTATAAAAAAAAAAAAGAAAATTTTTTTTTTTTTCTTTTCTTTCCCTCATTTCTCCTCCTTCTCCTTTTATCCACCCATCTCTAACCACAAAATGTCATGCTGAAAGGGGGAGAAAGGGGAGGGTGGTTGGTTTTTATAAAAGCGAAACCAAAATAAAAGGAAAATACAAAATTTTTGAAAGCTAAAAAAAGTTTTTCCTGGGGGTATATTATTGCCCCCCCCCCCCCCCACAACCTCCTATAAGCATTTTGGGTCAACTGAATTTTGAAAAAAAAAAAATTCCGATATTGTTCTTTTCTCAGTTTCCCTTCATACATCTTCCCTGATGCGTTGAATCGAGCCATGTTACTTCACTACTAAAATACACAGCTCCTAATCTATGTTTTTCAACTTTCAGCTTTCAGAAAGTTTGGATAATGTTCCTCCACCAGACCATTTAAAACATCAGACAAGAACTCCACACCGGTTCAGACCATTAATACAGACCACCAGATCCGACCGTCAGACCAGACAACTACAGCAGCCAACCAGAGCAGACCGCCAGACCCACCTACCAGGTCAGACCAACCAACAGCCAACCAGATCCGCCCACCAGATCAGACTTCCACACCAGAATACCATCCTTGATTCAGCTTCAAATCAGCACAGGACTCCCAACCTCCTGAAATGGTACAGGTTAGGTGCATTCCTTGTGGGTTGGGTTAAGGAGGGTATATAGAGCTCTGGATGAACCTTGCAAAGCTTACTTTCCACACACGTTCGGCCTGAAGTCTCCGGACTTCTTATTCGGCTTAATTTAACTGTAGTTAGATTAGCTATTGGGTTCCCTGGGCTGGTAAGGGCCTCCCCTTCCCCTTTTTCATAAGTTGGGTTCCTTTGCAGGTGTTCAGTCAGCGATTCGATTTCGGCTTTTAGGATTCGGCTAGGCACTTAGGATTCGGTTCGGCTTCGTCTTTTGCATTTTTTTTCGGATGGACTTCGCCGTCGTCACCGCCGCCGGTCGTCTTCACCACCGTCACCCGCTTAGTTGCGCGAAATCCAATTTATCTATCACACTTCACTTGACAGTCTGTGCGCTGGGCAAGTGAGGTTTTCACTCGCAAGGTTTAACCAGACAGTGATTATTTTAAGACGTAACTTTGTAAACTGGAGACTTCAGATCATTAAGCTAGAGTGAGGGGACCTGATTTGGCCACCCCTTACAAGCTTAATGGTCTCTCTGGTTACAGGTAGATAGTTAGTTCAGCCTCGCAAATTTGGGTCTGCCTTATCCAATTTGGCTCTTGATTTAAAACCTTATGGGTGTGAACTAAAATGTTTTGATACGTATTTGCAGATCTCAAACTTGTGAGGGTAGATCAGTTGACAGGTATAGTGACTTACAAAGAAGGTAATTTGCAATGAGGTGTTCTTCCCGAGAGGAGACAACACCATCTTGCAGGTTGCCAGGGCAACTTGGGACATTCCACACACCATAGGATAGATCGTTTACAAATCGTAAGCGTAGGAAGTCTTCGAGACCAATCTACGACGCTGTTACATCGTTGGATGAGCACAGCACAAACAAGCCGGGATAGGATTTGATAGAGTCAGGAGCCCGTGAAGTAATTGCAAGGATGCCTTAATCGATTATTTCGGGAACTTGCTCTTAAAGGCCCACCATACCTTTATTTGCGCGTCCCCGAAGACATTCTCGTGTAAACTTCACAGGCTATAGTTATCTTTTCGTAGAAAGAGGAAAGTAGGGGAGGATTCTCTAGTTTTGGCATCGCTGACACTTAGACGATTTAGTTCGTCTTTTTGTTAATTTTGCTTTGCTGGAGGGTTTTCTTCTTAGGAAGTCCTGCATTGCACAACGCAGGCACAGACCGTCTACAAATGGTAGGCGTATGTAGTCTTCACTTCGACCGTCCGTGGCTTCTGGCTTCTTCATCCTCTGTGAGTCGTCAGAGGTGACTGAGTCCTAAGCAGCAGTTGCCAATGGTAAGTGAGAAGAGGCCGGCCGAAGAAAGAAGAACAAAGAACATCGAACACCATTGAAAGATAGTCCAGTTAATTAAGTAGTTAAGATAGCTGCCTTTGCGGCGATGCACAGATTAGAGATGGAGAATCCTGCAGCGCCAACCCAGACAATAGTGATGATGATGACGATCCTTTACAATTAGACGTCTCCATAGATAGGCAATCCAGTTCGTTAAGTAGATAAGATAGCTGCCTTTGCGGCGATGCATGGAGAATGAAGCACTAACCTGGAAAATGATAATGATGATGATGATGATGGCAACGATAACGACAATGATGGTGATAATAATAATGATGATGACATGACGACGATCATGATGCTCGCTTGCACTAATATGTCATTTTGCTTCTACCAAATTTTTCTAGGATCATAACCCTATAAGATATAAATTCAGAACTCAGAAAAGCAAAGATTAGATTGGCTATTTTGCAAACAGAAGCTGCTAATGACATCACAGTGCAAACGACCTCATGATTAGGAAGGCGAGGTTATTCCAGAGAAGACAGCATATAGAAAACTTTATGAGCTGTCTCAACTAACATTGATATCCTTGTTATTTCAAGAGGGAAGGAATTAATCATTTT